CGACAGCATTCTCTTGAGAAATTTATTCCAATGGTATGATTCTATTCAGGTGTAACTAGCCTTTTTTGCAAACTTTTACTAATATTCTCCTATTCCTATTAGAAACTAGTTTAAGATGACCCGGACCTTAACCTTTTTTACCTAAGGTACGTCATGTTTCCTCATAATGCTTAATTATATCCCACACTGTAGTTTTCAGAATATTAAGTTCAAATGATAGACAGTATCTTCTATAGCGTTGTCAGGCGTACGATAATTATCGTTTTCTAGTATTTATAAAATAATAGTAAAATATACGATAATTTCAGTTAATGCTTAGTCCATCTTCTTTAAATTTTTATCTCGATTATTTTGTGTAACGCACACACAAACATTAAAATAAAAACAAATATTTCTCGGCAGCTAAATTTAAAATCGTACTGCAATTTAAGTAAAATAAAATTAAAACTGGTGGATGAATTGAAATAGGAACTTTCTAAGCTATTTTTGAAATGGGTTTTACCAAAGTTTGTGAAATTAAATATTTTTTCCAAAGTAATAAAGTAGGTATCGTAAATTTGCATAGCCAAATGATTACACTGTATAAAGATCTATTGCTTACTTACATGGACTCACGATATGTGAGGCAAACTAATGTAATGAGACAATTGATTCTCAAGATATTGAAAAATTTGTCAATAATAACATTTATCAGGAATTAGGGTGACGCAAATATTAATTATTTAGATGATAAATTGATACAGGACTTTTACGAAAGTTGCAGGCGTTATGAAATTACAGCTTGTATGGAATTACAAAAGAAATTATTTTACAGATTCCGTCTTGGGTAAGATACACCTTAAATAAATGTAGCTTTATCAGTTGCCCAAGTATTTTACCACGAATATCAAAATTATCTCGAATTCTGGATTAATAATTATATTTTAAAGGGGGTCTTTAAAAGATCTTAAAGATACCATGGACAGACAAAGTCACCAATGAAGAAGTACTGCGGAGAATGAACACAACTGCGGATTTGGTCAACATCGTGAAGGGCCGTAACCTGCAGTACTTGGGCCATATAATGAGAAATAAAGGCAGATACGAGCTACTTCAATGCATTTTATAAGTTAAATTGAAGGAAAAAGGGCTCCAAGAACGAAGAAGAATATCCTGGCTTGCTAACCTGAGAGCATGGTTTACATGCTCAACACAACTATTTCGTATAGCAACTAACAAAGTTATCATAGCCAGAATGATCGCCAACGTTCGGAATGGACAGGCACTCTACGACGAAGAAAGACAAATTTCAAAGATCAAATAAAACATTTTATCGGTAATCCTCTATTTACTTATTTGAAGGGTCAGAGGAAAAAACCAGGTAAGTCAATTTTTTTCAATATTGAGTTATCGGCTGTATTCGGTACACAGTGAACATATGTATATTTCAAAAGTCCGAAACTTGGAAAAATACAAGTAACTCACAAGATATACAGAGCCAAAGTTTTGATATAAAAGGAAAAAAGCAGGTAAGTCAAATGAAACGGGAAAAGAACCAGGCAAGTCAACAAATTCACTCGACTCTGCCCTCGCGCGATGGCCACGTTATCGATATCTGCGAACGCATCAGTAATCAGTGCATTGCTAGAGTTTATAACGGTCACATTGAGATTAGTTTGTAAATAATAATATTATCGCTATGTCAAGCTCGGATGAAGGTATTAAGTTATATAGTGAGCCAAAAAAAAAAAAGAAAACCGGTCGGATGTCTGAGGTAAATAAAAAGTTGAGACTTGCGACATATGAAGCTGTTCCTGCTTGCCATTGAAAAAGATATAAATGTTATGATGTAACTTCTGAATACAATAGAAAAAAGATATTGGGTTACTTTAATCAACTACCGTCTCATAATGAGCAAAACATGTACTTGACTGGATTAATCACCGTGATACCTGTGGCACAGAGAAGACCTCGACATTGTGAAGAGGAGGCAAAGTTACGAGAAGCTAGTTTTGCCTACAGTGTTCGAATAACTGAAGACAACGGAGAAGTGGTAGATATTGGTATATGTGCAAAAGCGTTTTGCTCATTTCATGGAATCAGTAAAAATAAACTCAGCTATCTACAGCAAAGTTTGAAATCGACAGGATCTGCACCAATGGATAAAAGGGGTAAGCATTCCAAGAAACACAGACAGCTCAATGAGGTCACTGCTGCTTTAATTGATAGTCATATTAAGAGTTTCAAAGGTCGCCAGAGTCACTATAGTCTTAAGGACTCAACCAAAACTTACTTACCAGAAAGTCTTAACATAAGGAAAATGTACAACCTTTTTAAAGAATTACATACTGCTGCAGTTGTATCCTACGACACTTACAGGGTAATTTTTAACACAAAATTCAATATTTCTTTTTGATATCCACGTTCGGATACTTGTGCAGTGTGTGATGAATATACAGCAAAGGTTAAAGCTTTGTCTGTGGAAAAAGATGCACAGCAGATTTATCAGCTAACAGTAATGAATACTCTTCATAACAAACGCACAGAGACTTTTTATAACCTCAAAAAAAAATTAAAAATTGGAGCAAGACAAAATAAGAAAAAAGAAGCCATATGCGTAGATTTTGCCAAAAATGTCTTCTTGTCGAATATAGCGACCAACGACGTTTATTACAAACGACAGCTTGCTATGTATTCTTTTAATGTTCATGTTCTGTCAACTGGTGAATCCTTTTTTTACGTGTATCATGAAGCTATTGCTAAAAAAGGACCGAATGAAGTGGCTTCATTTCTATTTCACTTCATTATGAATTATTTGGACGATGAAGTAAAAGATTTGGAAATTTTTTGCGATTCTGCAGGAGGACAGAACAGTGAAATTATCACGGACTCAACCATCCCCATTTACTGTAATCAGTGTTTCTCAAACAATTGTGCTGGATTGGAAGAAAATGTTGGAATTAAAGTACATTGCTAAATGTCCGTTTAAAATACAGCCTATCAGATTTATACATTGTTCAACCAGTCATAGCTGCTTGATAGAATATCGCACCACATACAATGGACCAATATTCACTGGCATTATAAAGTTACCACGGCATTTTAGAAGAAGGGTTGTTTGAACTTCCCCCTCCAGCATACAATGGTATGTACTAATAATAACAATAATTTGACTGAATTAACCATTACAATTTTTCTAACAAATTTCTATAGAATAATATTCTTTCCAGGCCTCCTGCCAATTTCGAGTGCAAAATTTAAAGATTTGCAAACCCTAATGAAGTTTTGTGCGCCCGCTACTGTCGAATTCTTTCATAAACTACCCCATGATTAAGTAAATGTAAGTTAACATAATAATATTTATACGTAAACACATTCTGTCAATCACAATAATTATTTTTCGCTTTATTTTTATTTTTTTTTATTGAGTTTAATGCGTCGACAACTAATGGTCATTGGCAAGGTACAGTGAATTTTTACAGTCAGGTGTGTAGTGTGTGTATGTGTATGTAGAGTAAATGTCTTGATACTTAGCAAAGTCGACGTCATTGTCTTTGCTAAGAGACGCTAATTGTATCCGAACGTCTGCGGTCCCTCCGGTGAGTACCGATCGCACAAGGATAGAAATTATTTTCATTTATTAATTTTTAATAAACGAAAATTTCCACCCAGGTGAGTTATTTTTATTTACTTATTAATATGCATGTTATTTTCAGGTTGGACACTTTCATGGTTTTTGTGACACTCCAGTGATCTGACAACACCCTTTGGGTTTTTTTCTATTTTATTTACTTTTTTGACACATAAAAGTCCAGTTATTTGTATAACTTACTCCGGTATTAGTATTTATGCGTATTCTGTATGGTTTTGAACATTAAAAATGTTTTTTTCTCAGTTTTGACAAAAATTGACTTACCTGGTTTTTCCCCTGACCCTTCATTTTAGTGACTTTATATTGTTTGTGTTAACTTTACCTCGTTAAAATTCAGGTTATGAAAGACAATTTTCAAAAGTAAATTTAATAAAGAAGAACTTCAGGAATCGATTGGTAACAGACCCTTCATATGACATTATGCATTCATCCCAATCAGTTGATCTTTAAAATGATTTTTTCTACTCTCTTACTAGTAAATTGTATATTACCTACTATTTGGATGCTAAGTAAATGCATCATAACAGACACTGACACGTAATGACTAGCACGTAATAAAAAAAATTACGCTTCAGTTCTATAAAAATGTGTAATATCACATACGCCTTGTAAGTCAGTTGGTCGAGTTACCATGGAAACGAATTAACAGGCGTTGTTTTGACAGGTTAAAAATTATTAATCTGTCAGTGTAAATATAGTGGTAATTTAATTTTTATTTTTATAAACAAAAATAATGGTAGAAAAAGTATAGTACACAACTTGAGTTGTAAGCTTATTACATGCTTGTAAAATTACTGCGCTCGCCGCTACGCGGCTCGCGCGCAACTTTTTTACTCGCATGTAATAAGCTTCTTACAACTCTCGTTATGTAATATACTATTATTAATGTCTACGCCGTCAGAAATAATGGTTACAATTATGAATATAACCAATTTATACAATAAAGAGATTGATGGTAAACTGCAAGAAGTTGAGTTCAAATTAACTGAATAGTTTATATTTTTTTACTGTAAGTTTTGTTCTTCCACATAATTTGTTTATTATATTTGTTTATTTCTTTTACAAAAATTAAATATATAAAATTTTCTACTTTATTAATTTCTTGATCAATAGAATATAAGTAAGTACTCGAATGTGTAATATAAAATACAATAATTTTAGCAACAACATACGACGATCTGGCAACGCTGCTCTTACAGAACATACCTAATAAACGAATTGGTTTGGTGGCCGGGCCTTCTAATATATTGTTTTAAACATGATTATCTCAGTTCCTCTGGTTTATAACGCATACCTACTGTATCTTAGATTAATGAAATCATTTCATTAATCCAAGTACTGCATATTGCACTACTAATTTCAAACTTACATTGGCTTATATCCTAACAGCGTCAATAATGCATCAACGAATATGGCGGGTAGCATGTGAAACAAATAGAAACAAATATTGTGCACGAATCTGGATTTTTTCAAAGACCCTCCGGGATACCAGGCTACGTTGTTCAATGGAATTTTAGTTTCAATTACTTCCCTTCCTATTTCTATAATTTCTGACCATGAAATTTTATATTCTGCAGAGCTTGTTAAATTGTAGATTCTTCGGATGCTAAAAATTAAAAACAATAAGATTGTTTAAAATTACAGTGGGTGTTTTAATTACTTTTTAAGATATCTAGAAAGGGTATTTTGTGAAGCAAAATAGCAACGCTATGGTACTTGAAAAATGTGGAGGAAACTACACCTTGCCCTAAACTATACTTACCCATCATACACGTGGTAATCCAGAGTGCTCACTATCATAGCATTTACTCCAATATCAACTGGTAGAAAATCAGCATACCCATCAGAATCGCAATACATAGTTCTGATTACTCCTTTTCCAGCACCAATTAACAAACCTGCTGGTCCGTTTATATTATCTGTCCAGCCTGGAATCGGCTCTTTCCATATAGGAATTACTACAAGTAGAACAGAATATTATATAATTTAAAAAATATTTTGATTTTTTGGGTTTTCTAATATACCAGTGGTTATATTCGGATAATGCTGTCCAAAGAGAAGAGCATTATATTTATTAGAAAAAATATGCTGCTAATTAAAAATAGATTCGAGCAAGAGATAAAAATTCTAAGAATAAAATTGCCTCAGAGCGGGAAGTTCGTGTATTACCTTAAAACAAGTAGTAAAGAAACTAGGATATCAAGACTCATTCGATATTTGTTGAGCTATCTAAGGCCTATGATAGTGTGCCACTTTCTAAACTGTAAACCACAATGGCAAATCAAGATACAAGCCAGAAAAATATAAACGTTATAAAGAAGTTGTACACAGGTATGACGGCATACATTGTAGTCAAAAGCAAATTAAGCGAAAAAATTACTACAAACAAGGGTCCAAACCAATGCTGCTGTATATTTACTCTATCTGTCTAATTAGAATTATTTTCCATTCTATTCCAATCCTATTTTCCTATTTCCAATCCTATTCCATTTTCCAAAAATATGTAACACTTATGATTGTATGTAGTCTGGAAAGTCTTAAATATATAAAACAGTGCAAAATATGTAGATTTTAATAAATTTAAATATTTAAAACGAAAACTGACAGTAGTTGTGTTTCAAAAAGTTCTGCAATTCAAATTGCTTCTCTAAAATGCCGTTCTCTAAACCGTTCTCCTATTCATAAGGCGACGGTACAAAAAACTGTAAAGCGATTTGAGAAATCTGAAGAAGGTAAAGATAGATAAAAAGAGAAAAGTTTTGTTGAAGATCCACATACATCCTCAGGCAGGGTTGCACAAGTACATGATGTAGGTCGTTCTTCAGTCTTACGTATATTACGTAAAAATAAGTTTAAACCATACAAAATAAACTTATTGCAAGAATTAAGTGAAGATGACTTCGATCTTAGATTAGAGTTTACTGAGGTAATGATGGATAAAATTGAAAATTATTAAAATTTCGTTAACAGAATATGTTTTCCGATGAAGCAATCTTTACACTGTTTGGAACGTTAAATCGACACAATTTAAGGTACTGGAGTGACGCAAATTCACACTGAAAGCGTGAAAACCATACTCAAAGACCACAAAAATTACATGTATCGTCAGGTATAGTAGGTACTCAGTCAATTGGGCCATTTTTTATCGAAAGAAATTTAACATCAGATAGTTGGTGTAAATGTTAGGCGTTATTTAGAGGAGATATTTCCCGGACGATAAATTGGTAGACAAGGTAGAATTGAATGGCCTTCACGTTCACCCGATTTCAATCATAGAGATTATTTTTATTAGGATACTTGAAAAATTTAGTTTACAAAACTTAACCAGCAAGTCTTGCAGCGCTAGGGCAACGAATTATCAATGAATCTCGAATTGTTTCTAGACCATCATAGAGAAATGTGAAAGACGCATTCTACCATAGATTAGGGTACTGTCAACTCATAAATTGAGCACATTTTGAACATTTAATAACGTAACTATTGTTAAAAAATATTCTAATCTATCAATTGTTACGTTTTCATGTAGTTGAAAATAATTAGTATTAAAAAATTTATTGAAACAATTAGGCGTTGCCAGACTTGTGTTTTATGTATTTAAGACCTTTCAGACTACGTAAAATCAAAAGTGTTACATATGATTAAACTCGTATTGAATAGGAGATTCCAATAATGACTAAATATACAGGATGATGCATTTAAAAAACCAAAGTTACTAATAATATAAAAGAAACGGAAAATCTGGCAACATTGCAAATATCAAATATGGAATCTCCGTATTCCAAAATAGGTGTACCTCAAATTTTGTACAATTATAACTAGCAATTTACGAGATAATTGGCCGGTTCCAGACTTTTGGGCCACTCTGTGTGTATATATATATATATATATATATATATATATATATATATATATATATAATGTATATAACGACGCTAAGAATACAATTCTTTGGTAGGTAACTTTCGGGAAAGCGTCAAATCAAGGATCGGCTAGAGATGGTACAAGCCAGTTTAGTGTAGAACTTTATTCTAAACGTGAAATTTTCGGTGATAGGCTGTCACCTACATCAGCACCTAAATGGATTACTAAACTATTCTGAATACATGTTAAATCATAATGTCGAGGGTATACAACCTTGTCTAACTCTTCTTTTGATTTTTATAGTCTTAGTGTCCCTCATCTCCATTTTTACAAATGCATTTTGGTTCCAAAAGTTTATTTATTATCTTTATATTATTAGAATCGAATATTTTTTTATAAAATATCTATTAGTTTTTTGAGATGGACTTTATCAAAGGCCTTTTCATAATGAAGCTTTTTGTGCTAATGATGCTTTTTGTTAATCGACACATTTTTGCATGAGCACAATGAAAAAAACAAGGCCTTTCGGGTTCCGATACTATTTCTGAAACCAAATTGTTCTGAGCCCATATCCTCTTCGCACGTTTTATAAATTCTGTCGTAAATTATTTTTAGAAATAACTTTAGCATATGGGACATGAGTCTTATCAGTCGAAAGATATTACATATTTTATTCTTCATCTTCCTATGCCGTCCCCATTAACGGAGGTTGGCGACCACATTTCTAAAAGTTTCTCTGTCTTTTGCAACGTGGAATAATTCATCTACAGTCATGTTTGTCCAATCTCGAATATTTCGCAGCCATGACTTCCTTTTTCTACCTATTCCCTTTTTGCCATCGACTCTAACCTGCACAAAGACCTGCAGAAGACTCTATTTATCATGCCTCAGTATGTGTCCAAGGTATGCAGTCTTGCGTACTTTTATTGTTATTACATTTATTGATGTGACGTATGTAAGAAGGGTACAAACGTAGATGTTTTGTATATATTACAGAAGATTTTAGCAAGAAGATCTTAGTTATCTTCTTCTAAATTTAAATCATCTAAGTAATCTAAGTAATCTAGGTAATCTAAGTTTAAATGTTATCCAGACCAGGTGCTTTTTAAGGTTTTATATTTTTCGATGCTTATTTTATTTCGGGTGTTAGAATGGGTTAATTATTTTCAATATTTATACATCTTTTGGTATTGTGTTCAACGTTGTTTTATTATTTGTTTGTGAATTTCTTTATATTTACTATTATCTTTATTCTTGTGTTGTTTTCTGGTATTTATCATTTCTAATATTTTATCAGTCATCGATGGTTTTTTCTGCCTAATGTTTTGTGTTTTTAAGATTATTTTCAGTCTGCTTAATTATGGTTTTCAATTTACAGACAACTTGTCAGGATCATTTGGTTCTTCTCTCTCTCTCTCTCTCTCTCTCTCTCTCTCTCTCTCTCTCTCTCTCTCTCTCTCTCTTTTAACTTTTCGTATTTTTCTCCTTGAGATTTCGACATTCTTGATTAATGTGATATGTTATCTTTTGCTTCGTTACTTCTTTCTTCAATACTTGTTTATTGAGAGATATTCTACTCTAACCACAAATAACACAACATTAATTTACAAACAAATTCTTAAGACAGTGTGGACTAAATACTTCTACTGAACATCGTTTTGAAGAAGAAAGTTTTTTTTCTGTAAAGCAATACCTATATACCCGTGGAAAAAATGGGACAAAGAAGAAAAATCGCGTTTTTGTTTTTTTACTTGGTTTTTTGAATATATTTTTGTAAAAAAAAATAATTTTGACTTAAAAAGGTAAAATTTTAATAGGAAATTTACTTTTGGACATCTTTTTTCTAAATGTATATGTACGAAAACTTCATAGAATTAACCCAAATGCACTCTAGTGCAAGGGGGAAAATTCACCCCTATCTCAAAAACGCACCACTTTAAATGGTAGCACTCCGTGGGTATTTCAATTTGGGAGTCCACTAACCATAAAATAATAAAACCCCTTTAACGTTGTAGTTCCTTTTAGCCTTATTATTTCTAATATAATCAATAGCATATTATAATAAAAGTACTTTTTAAAATAGAAAGATTTTATTAGTAAATACCGTAGGTGTGGTTGAAAAAAAAATGGGTATGAAAATCCATGACATATAAAATAAACTTACCTATGGATGGCCTCAAAATAATCACTGGCAAATTATTCATTTCGTCAGCAACAAGAGATTCTCCCAAAGCCTTCGTAAAAGCGTATGTATTGGGTATATCTCCCAAAATTCTAAAAATATATAGATATAAGTATTCATATTTTACTTATATAAAGTAACACATTATAAGCTATCTTGAAACCAATAATTATAATCTATAAATAGTGTAATGGAATCCAAATGTATAATAGCGAGACATTATGGATTGATATAATAAAACAAAATTATGTATTTAAAAATCCCAAGTTGATAGGTTTCGGATATTAAAGATCTTTTAGACATTACTACAAAAAAACTCGATTGTAGAGGTGTAGCATTTCGAATTACCGTGTATATGTTACAACACCGAAAAATATTCTTGGTCTTTTTGCGTCGCTGAGATTAATAATATAAACATTTTTAGCCTGTGTTTATAATAGCACTAATTTCATTGGTTTGATTATGAATACGCTTAATATTGCGCGTCAAATAAATATCCACGTGGGTTGATGGGAAAAGTATGCAAGGAGGTGAATGATTTTTAAGGATGATGAAATCACTCTAAAATGGACCACGATATTCAGAATTAGCATCGTTTCCATAGTCTTCCACAAGTGATACATTATATTTTTGTGTCCCAGATCCTTCTGGAAGTGTTTTGAATATTGCTGTCTAAACTCTTTTCCAATGAGCAAAACCATTCTGGTAATGGCCGATAACTTACTTACTTACTTACTCCGTGGCGTTACAACCCTTCGTGGGTTTTAGCCGACTCGACAACATGCCTCCATGCCGATAACGATTAACTATATATAGCGTATCCCTCTTGGTACTTATACACACCAAATTGAATGCAGCTTCTTATATCGTTTATCAGTGACAATTTCACCGCAGATGACTGTTTACATATTGTTCGTAAAGTGAATAGGCGACGGGTCATACTCCTCTAATGAGGTCTACTGTTTGCTCTTCCTATAAACTTTTAAGTTTATACACGTCTGGTATATCAAATTACTTCTCTACGAAAAAGCCATTCCTACTTTTAGATGGAAGCATTTTTTAAAGGAGAGAACTAGAATATCTTCGATTGCCAAAATCTATTAGTCTCTCTGTTTCAAGTACAGTTCATAACGAGTTATGATAAAATCCACTAATTGTGTAAGAATACAAGCTAATGTTCTATTTAGCACAGTCTTGTAAAATTCTGAAGACTATTTAAATATCATTAGAAAATAAACAAAACATAAAACGTAATAATTGCAGGTAAGGGTGACTCGTAAATCACGTTTAAATTAGGACCAACCGGAGGTTCGTATTTATTTTCATATGCCGACTTTGTGGGATCGGCAAATATGCTGCCGGCATCGGATTTCACCGTCAGATGCAGATAAACCTCTTTTTTTTTAGCATGTGTGTTGTTATAAGTTTTTGCTATTCACGCACTTCAGCTTTTGTCTAATATTCTTATCTGTCATCCATGATTTTTTCTTTATTAATCTATCTGTCTTTAAGTGTTTATCCTTTACATTTTGCACTATTTCTGTAATAATAACCAACGAGCTTCTAAAACACGGAGGAAAAAGAATAACCCTTAAGATGATAAAACTTATACAAAAACTAATATTGCACTGTAAGATACCAGACGCACAGAGAAACTGCATAATGTTCAAAATACCAATGTTCAAGAAAGGAGATAAAGAAGACCCCAACAATTATAGAGGTATAAATCTACTGAACACCACACTTAAGCTTACCACAAAAGTCCTAACCAACAAAATCAATAAACTAACAACTTTATCAGATAAACAACATGAGAAGATCCTGATATGTATAACACGTTATTTTGTTATTATGTATTTTAAAGAAACGGTTTTAACATGCTTAAATAAACGGATAAATTTAAATAAAACTAATAAAGAACATTAGAAAAGTTAATCCATAATATCAGAATTAATTTGCAGCAAATTATAAACAAAAAATATACAAATAATATAAAACAATCAAAATAACAATAACATATTTGCCAAAAACATAGAAAAATGTAAAGAAAAAACTAACGTTTTTTCTTTATATTTTGTAATTCATAGAAACCAATGATAATGAAAGTAAAAGAAATATTCATGACCTCGTTACCCACTGTGAAGAAATTAGGTTATGTCTAGTAAACTATGCGGTAAATATACTGATTAAAACAATGTTTGTGGTACAGACGATGAGACAATATCTATAGACCACTCCGTTCAGAAGAAAATTTGGATTTAGGTTTCTGTCATCCATTACTTCACTTTTAAACTTTTGGACTTGAGACTAGGGTTGTTTTTATTTAGAGGATGAAAGCCACCCCTCCTCGTAGGTGAAGGAACATACGTTCATGATAAGTCCAGAAATGGATAAATTGACTAATTCTGAGTAACTTTTGTTCTATAAAGTTTTTTAACTAAGTCAGTACTTTTTGAGTCTTTTGCGAGTGAAAATGTTCATTTTTGAAAATAAAAATCACCTTTTCAAACAATTTTTCACAAATATCTCAAAAAGTATATAAGTATTTTATTGACTATTTCACAGGACTATTTTTAACTGATAAAACCTCGTAGCAACTCCACGTTTCCTACTAACAAAACTCCTTCCTGTATGTGATTTGTTTCAATATTGTTCTGAAGCTATTTTCTTGTGGCATTTTAAATTAATTGCTATTTAACTGGGAATAAGCCACAATTAAAGATAAAATTACGTTTATTGACGTTTCAATTTCCACTTTGGAAATGGTTCTCAAAATACAAACAGTAAATTAAACAAATTTTGTTTTTTGTAATTTTGATTTTAATAATTTAATTTTATCTGACTCATTTATATTGACAATTCAGACATACATTATGCATTTTAAAGTAGACGACTTTAAAATGATATTGCCAATATTGTTGAGTTGCGCTCCTGGGACGACTTTACTTATAAGATAGTTCATTCGATTACATGAAATCAACTTTAACTTGAGAATATCCATCAGAAAAAAATCATAGCATATAATTCGTCTTTAAAAAGACAAACACATGACATGATGACAGTAAAATTCTCCTGTTAGTGATTCCATAGTAAATTATGAGGGAAAAACCAGGATAAAAACCTCATAATACTATCCCGACATGGTAAGTATTTGTTCGTGCAATTAGTTTACCTTCAATAAACACCAAAATTCTGATTTTATATGTTTCGTTATTTAAAAAACATAAATGATGTATCCCCTATATGTTACTGACTTACTAATACTAGTATTTTCTTATTAATAACTTCCTCTTTCAATATTGGTATTTCTTCTTTAATATTAGGTTAACGTGATATGATTGTACCTAGGTATGTAAATTTTTCTACCATTTCGAATTCGTATGATGATCTTTCTTCTACTTCTACTTTAAACTTTTGTCTATCCCTAAACTGATCATCTGTCCACTGCATACATTTTGTTTTAGTTTCATTTATGTAAACTCCCATTTTCTTTGCTGCTTTTACTATTTTCTGTACTATCTCCTGTAGCTCTTTTTTTTTCTCTTGCCAGCAACACTATATCATCCGCAAATGCCAAAACTTGATATCTTTTATGATATAGGACAAACTACTATAGCTTATAATAATTGTACATTTAATATTGTTAACAAATAAAGATTGTTTAAGTTGATATGATGCATTAATTGTCTCGTGAAATACTCCAGTCGTCAGAAACGAAAATAATACTTAACCTCTAAAAATCATATGAATAAGCTAAATTTTACTGAGAATATTTATTTTGGGACCGCAAAATGGATTTAAAAAAGGTTTACCAATTTTACCCCCGGGTTCTCCTAAAACCCCCTTCGTAGGTTGTTAAAACGCAAAAAAAAAAATCGATTTACCAAGAATATGTACGCCGTAGAAAAAAATGTTTCAAATAAAAAATGTAGCTAAGATAATTTTAAACAAAAACGTGTATTAGCTCTGTTTGTGTATAATGAACCGTTCCATCAGAAATAACGCTTGAAGTTAGCTTTGATTTTAAATGTGTCACGTGCGCGAAATCAGTGTTCAATAAAATTTGTATCAATTCAACAGTAAAAATTTTATATCTTTTGATCGACAAAAATCTACTACTACTACTAAGGATTTCCACAGTTTTCACTGTCTTCCTTCACTCAACCGTTTTCTCCAATTTTCCCTGACATTCCAGTCTCCATCTCGCAGGGTTCTTTTCTCCATCGCCTCGTCGATTTCGTCTCTGAATGACCTTCGGGGTCTTCCTCTCTTTCTTCTTCCGATCGGGCTCCATTCTGTGATTTTGTTTATCCAGCGTCCTCTGTCCGCTCTTCTGACGTGGCCGTACCAGGATAGTCTCTTTTCCCCTATATAGTGGATTATGTCTGATTGCACTCCCATTCTCCGCTTAATCTCTGCGTTTTCTCTGTCTCTTTTTGTAAGTCTACAGCTTTTCCTCAGGAACTCCATTTTTACTGCTCTTATTCTACCTCTATTTCGCTTGTTTATTGTCCAGTTTTCGGACCCATATGTCAGGATACTTCTTGTCAGGGTATTATATATTCTCTTTTTTGTCTTTATGGTAATGTTCTTATCCCACAGCACTGAATTTAGTTGTCTTATACAGTTTCTTGTTTGTCTTAGTCTGTTGTTTATATCTTCTTCTATTGTTCTCTGGTTCGATATTATGGTTCCTAAATACTTGAATTTATCTGTTCCATTTACTTGTGTTTCCTCGTCTATCTCTAGGTTTCTCATATCCTTGTTTTCTGTTGTTAGGTATTTGGTTTTCTCTAAGTTTATTTCCATTCCGTTGTTTTTACATTCTTCTTCTAGTTTTCTGACCATAAAGCTAAGATCTTCTTCATCTTGTGCGATGACTACTTGATCGTCGGCAGAACTTAAGGTGTATAGGTATTCGTCTCTTACTGGTATGCCCATTCCTTCGCACTTTCTCCTCCATGGTTTGAGTGTCTTTTCCAAGAATATTTTAAACAGAGTAGGAGACGTAGCACAGCCTTGTAGAAGTCCTTTTGTCGTCTTAAATGGATTGTAGGCTTTATTTCCACATTTAATAGCTACTTTATTTTCTTTGTACAGTGCTTTAACTTCATTTATTAGTGTTTGTAAGATTCCGAGATCATTCATTGCTTTCCATAATTTGACTCTAGATATTGAGTCGTATGCTTTCTTTAGATCAACAAACGCCATATGGACCGGTTTACCTTTTGCCATTTTCTTCTCTATCAGTTGTTCTAATGTGTACGTATGATCTAGGCATGATTTTCCTACTTTGAACCCTGCTTGGTCTTCTTCAATTTTTCCTATTATTTCAGTTTCTAGTTTTTCCTTGATAATTTTCCCATAAAGTCTACCTACCGACGATATTATACTGATTCCTCCGTAGTTTTCACATTTTTTCCTGTTTGTTTTCTTATGTATGGATGTGGTGTATGCTTGTGTCCATTCCGCAGGTATTTCCTCTCCATTTAGTCCTCTTTCGAACATTCTGTGTAGCATGCGGAATAACTTTTCCGTTCTGTTTTTAATTAGTTCGTTTGGTATCCCTCCGGATCCTTTGGCTTTTTTGTTCTTCAGTGTCTTGATTGCTTTCTTGACTTCTGTCAGACTTATTTCTATCTGGTCGTATGTCCCATTTTCTGCATGTTCTGTATTCTCTTCCCGAAATTGGGGACGGTTTTCTGTAAGTAGTTCTACGTAGTATTCTTGCCACTCGTTTTCACTAATTTTGCCGATCTGGGTTTTCTCTGTCTTATTTCGTTGGAGTGCTTTTAATATTCGCCATGATTCTGAATTTCTCGTTTCTCCGATATGTCGTTCTATCTCTGTGCATGCTTGTTCCCATCGTTCGTTCTTTTCATTTGTTCATCGACAAAAATCAAGATGCTTTTTAAAGGTAAAGAGTGCAGCTTGTGTATGCAGTTCTAGTATTTTGCCGCGAATAAACTCAGTTTTTATAAAGGTGTTAAATCAACTTGGCGTGATTGTTGCCATTTTTTATGATTCTCATAAGTTCAGTACAATCAATATCTTTTATTGACTGCCCACTATAAAGTTTCGATAACTGGAGCCTAACCTTTAAAACCTTTAGTATAAGTATTTAGTTTTGAGTTTTGGCAACACATGTGAGGTATTTAAAATATGCTTAAAAAACCTTGGATATAAAATTTCACATAACAAACAATCTAAAACTTTTAATACTTTTTTTTCAATTAAACTAGTTCCTTTTTCAAAAGAACCAAACTTCTGCTATAAACTACACCTAAAACCGTCTTCTTGGAGGCATTTCTCGTGGCGTGCGAACTTTTAAAATGTAAAGCATTAAATTCTGCGTTTTTTATTCATATTTCAAATTAATTACTATTTAACTAAGAATGCCTCACATTTGTTACCAAAACTCAAAACTAAATATTTATGCTAAAGGTTTTGAAGGTTAGGCTCTCGGAATCATAAAAGAAATCTGAATCTGTATTGATCTGATGAGAATCATATAAAATGGCAAAAATGACGCTATGTTTATTTATTTAATATCTTTATAAAAACTAAGTTTATTCGTAGCAAAATACAAAAACAGCATTCGAAAGTTACACTCTTTACCTTTAAAACGCATCTTGATTTTTGTCGATAGGATACTTGGATCAAAAGATATCGAATTTTTACCGTCGAGCTGATACCAATTTTAAAATTATTGAACATTGATTTCGCGCACGTGACTGGCATTTAAAATCGACGGTCGGTGCAAGCGTTGTTTTTGGGGGAACGGTTCATTCTACATAAAAAGTGCTAATAAATAATATTGTTTAAAATTATCTCAGCTAAACATTTTTGCTACGGCGTACAAAACTTGGCAAATCGATTTTTTTGCGTTTTTACCCACCTACGAGGGGGTTTAGGAGGAAGCCGGGGCTAAAACTTTTTTGCATCTTTATTGGAGTCTTAAAATTAATATTTTCGGCAAAACTCAACTTGTTCATATGAATTTTAGGTGTCAACTCTCTGATGACTGGAATAGTCACTAAAATAGTCTTGTCGAATATCATTCGAGAGAAAAATATTTATCAGCAAAATTTTCTTCTGGTTTTATTAAAGTTTTTTGCCTTTTGGCAATTTTCGCTTATGAAATTTTGACAAAATCACTCGACTGTCGTCTCGTGATTTAACCGTCAAAATTTATTTCGCGAAAATTGCCAGGCAGCTTTCTTACCAGTCGAAATTATTGTCGGCAAAATTTTGCCTCATGATATTATATATGAAAAAAATATTCTTAGCAAAAATGTAGGTAGCTTATAAGAAAACAAAAAAAATGGTGTAGGGGAGAGTGTTGTACCTTTGGGCAAATTTTATGTCGTTTGGCTCAAAATGTTTAAAAATTGCTTTATAGCGACCATTGAAGCATACGTAGGTCAGGTCGGGCAGGTCACGTAGCCCGATATAATGACAACAGGTGGACACGGAGAATTCTAGAATACAGACCAAGGTCGACAACAAGAAGCATGGGAAGACCTCAATAAAGATGGGTAGATGACATAAGAGCAGTGGCAGGCAAACAGTGGATTAGATTAACGCAAGATAGAGAAAATTGGAAGCAATTGGGAGAGACCTACATTCAGAAGTGGATGGAAAATGGTTGACAAATAGAGATGGAAGCATACAGAAGTAGATACAACCTTTATCTATAAATGACAAAGTATAGGTCTATGGATTCGTTTCAGTTACCTTTAAAAAAAATTCAAATTTTTTTGATAATTTTATCTCTTTTTATATCACTTTTGCTTTATCGCATTTTTTCTGTAACGAAGTTTGGTGTCAGTTCACTTGTTATTTAAGTAAAAAACCATTAAAGTTCAATTTTGTAGAATTTATTAGCCGAGTGCTGCGAGGTTAATAAATCACAAGAGCGATAAAAATTGCCTTAATGCCGCGGTGCATATTAAAGCAAAGAGACCACTGAGCTTCCTCTGATTTAAAAATTATTTATTGCTTATGCATTAAAAACACATATCAGGGCCGATTTCGCTTTACTTTAATGTCTACTTCCAGTGAAATTATAGATACATTAGAAGAATGTATTGTAAAAAGTAAAATGTTTTGTCTTGTTGTATCTTTGGCCATTGCCAGTTGTACCTCTGGCCAGGCAAGAGGTACAACAAACGCAATGTCCCAAGTTACAACAATGTTTACGACTACCAAAACACATTAATTTTTTAAGGTTATGTAAACTTTATGGATTTGTGAACACAAGTTTTAAATGGCAAACATAGTATATTTCTTACCTGAAAAATTATAGATGAAACCAACAACAACTTTGTAAAACACCGACTTTTATGTTCTCCATAATTATTTACTTATCACGAAAAACTCACAAGCCTGACTAAATTCCAAAGTCTTTATATTTATGAAGCGAAACTATTTACTCAGCTCAAGTGGTGAATAGCAGAAGGTTAACGCAAAAATTCTTTCCAACACGCAGAAAACAACAATTTTAACGACAGTATTCAGAGGTACAAGCGCCCAAAGGTACAACACTATCCCCTACTTAAGAAATAACTTTCATTAAAATAGAACGGCTGCATTGGACAGGACATGTCGACAGAATGGGAAAAGGCAAAATATGAAGGAGGACGGAAAGAGGAGGAGGAAATTGAGAAAAAAAGCACGAAACAGATGAGAATGGAGAAGAATCCTGAAACAGGCCAAGACCCAAAAAGGGTTGTCGAGCCAATCATGAGTAATTTGAGGCATTTAAAAAATTGAAATAGATAAAATCAACTTAAGGATAATTTACATTATCGGTAAACATCCTAAATATTTAGAAACTAATTACTTACTTGGGAGTAATAGCATCAATTACATCGTCTTTCATCCATTCCACCGTTTTAATAACATGATGTGGATTAGCTGGAGGTGGATAGATTTTTTCTTTTAGCACCCTTTCGTGAAGATGACAATAGGAGGTCGAAAGGTGAGAAAATATCTAGAAAAATTTAAAATATAATAAATATTAGTATTAATACGGAAAACTTTATTACTAAAATTATTATTATGTATCATTCTTGTCATGTTTTATTTACATTATGTGTTTGTAATAACTTATGAATTTTTTGTAATAATATTATCTTTTATTATAATTTGAAATTTATTTAAACTTCACTTGAGTGAGGTGAAGAAGTATTAGATTGTTCGAATTGTTCGATTAGCTCATAATTAGTTAAAAGAAATGTATTATGAATAGTATGTGTGTATAGTATAATAAACTAGAACAACAGAAACAGATAAAACAACGAGCGTATCACAAATGGCTAACCTTCCAAGAAGTGGACGATAAAAACCAATACCGTAATCAACAAAGAATTTTCAAAATAATGGTTATAAGACATAAAAACCAAAAATGAGAATAACAATGCAATGAAGTGAAATAATGTCTAGATAGAAGCCAGTCTTCGGAGGCTTGGAGATTCATACGAAATCTAAGGAGCGATGACATAAATACAATAAATATACCAACCAACAATAGCAATGTATTTAAAAGTCACAACGCAAAAAAGAACTACAAGAGTCTAGACCTGAATATCTCCAACAATGACACATAAGATACCAAATTCATGAACCAGAAAAGAAATTCCTGGTGAACTTTTAAAAAATGCAACATTAACGCTTGATAATTTGCTGACAGAACTTTTTAATAGATACCTAAATAGAGATAATATACCTCATATAGGAAAGAAAGATGGAGTACTGCGATCAATAGAAAAGGTTATAAGACAGACTATAAAAATAACCGCTGCATCTCAGTTAACAGCACTCTCAATAGATTGTACAAAAAAGTTATAAAAACCCTAGTCAAAAACGAATATGAACCATTTGAGCTGGAACAGCAAGTAAGAATTTGAGCTATACGATCTTGCATCGACCACATCTATACTTTAACCCAACTAAATGAAAACAGAATAGCTAGGGATAGACCAACTCATCTATTATTTGTGGACTCGACAAAAGCTAATGATATGATATCCCTATGTGGGCCATGGCAAGTACTGGAACGGTCATCTATTATTATTACACTTTTGACAGCAATACAAGAATTCTACAATAATCTTAGATCAAAAATAAATATCAACAACCAGTTCTCCGAGAATTTTAGGGTAATAAGGGACTAAGAGAAGACTTTAGTCTGTCTGTTCATAAAACAAATCATGGAGAGAACAACAACCATCATGTTTGGTACGGACATGTACAGAGACAGATCATTGCTTATCGAGGGTAATATTGGATTGTCAGCCACCTGAGCGGAAAAGACGAAGAAAACCGAAAACCGCATGGCTTATCGGAGTCCAAAAGGAAATGTTAGAGTAAGATCTACGACCAGGAGACTGGGTCGATAGACGTGAATAGAGACTGGGAACCGAAAGGCGCAGAACGCTATAAACTGGACATTATATATAACAATAATATTTTAAATATTGTTAATTATTCACTTAA